TCTTCAAGGTCTAATCACCTGGGGTAGCAACAATTTTTAGAATTGATTCAAAAGCCTTGATGGAGGTGGTCACCCAGATTTGGAGGTGCTCACACCATAAGAGAATCCCAAACCCGATTTATCATCGAAGATCTTTCCTTGGCCAAGGACTTCGTCAAGCTTGTATGAACCAACATTTAACCTTTTAACAATGGCCTTGGCCTCAGTTAGTTTATTTAAAGTTTGATTCAACAAAATTTCCTTATTGGATAAATTAGATAATAAGGCTTTTAATTTATCATTCAAAATCTTCTTATTTTCTATCAAGAAAGATTTTTCAAATTCAAGAGACTTAATCCTCTTAATGGCTTTTAACCAAGCCTCATATATTTTGTCAAAAGCCTCATGTTGCTCTTTATAGACATCACTTGAGTAATCTAAGGACACACTATCACTGTTCTCTTGGTTAGCCATAAAGGCCAAAAGGTTTTCATTCTCAACTGACTTATCTTCCTCATTCTCTCTTTCTCCATCATCACTCTCACTCAAGATATAAGCCATTGGTTTGCCCTTTTTCTTTTTCAGAGTGTTAGCACACTCAAACTGGACATGGCCGTAGCTCTCACACTCAAAACACCTAATGTCTTTGTTCTTCTTTTTATTTTCTTTTGAAAATCCTTTTAAAAAGACATCTTGACCAAAATGGTCACCAAAATTTTTAACACAAGATTGTTTGCCTTTTCTAGCCACATTTGGTTTTCTCATATCTTTTTCAAAAATTTTGCAAAGTTTTTTATGAGTAAGCCACATTCATCATCATCCATATCACTATCATCAACATCATCAAGGGTTTCAGAAATTACCTCATGTTTAAATGCAAGGTCATTACCTGATTTTTGCTCACCCCATCTTTTCAAATTCTGCTTATATGCTTAGAGAGATCCAATCAGTTCATCCAGCTACATCACATCGAGGTCACAACATTCTTCAATGGACGTTGCCTTGGACATGAATCTCTTAGGTAAGGAGCACAACACTTTTCTGATAAGTTTAGCATCAGAATATATTTTACCTAAGCAAAGTACTCATTTGTTACATCACACAATTGGCCATGAAAATCAGAGATTGATTAATCATCATGCATTACAAGGTTTTCATAGTCAATTATTAATATCCTAAGCCTAGTCTTTTTCACAAGGTATTTTCCTTCATTTTTTACTTGGAGTCTATCCCATGCATCTTTTGTAGTCTCGCAGTTAGCAATATTTTTCATCTAACTTACACTAACAGCATTAAACAAGGCATGTAAGGCTTTTGAGTTAAAGCTAGACTCTTCTAATAGCCTTGGTCCATTGATCAATGGCTTTTCCTTTGCTCCCACTTGCTTCTTCAAGTTTACGTTCTTTCCAACCAACAATACAAGCCATCCAAGTCCTCTCATCAATGGATTTCAAAAAGACACGCATCCTAGGTCTCCAAAAAGCATAGTTGGATCTCTCTAACAAGGGTGGTCTACTGGTAGACCCTCCTTCACTAAACAAACTCATGGTAAACAAAATAGTTAGAGTGGTCACAAAAGAACTGAGGTGGTCACCTTCAAGTTCATAAGACAGAGGTGACAGTACACACACATAGGTGGTAACAATCAAAAAGTTCAACACGAGGTGGTCACACAGCTTCCAAGGTGGTCACACAAGGTCTATAGCGAGAAAACTGCTCACAAACATGAAATAAAACAAAAATGCAACAGAAACCAAATCAAAATTTAAGCACAAATAACAAGCAAGGGTCAACTGAAATAATCTTCAAAACAACCTCTGATACTAATTTAAAGTGTTAAAATTACCAAGTTCTTAAAACTTAAGCGGAATGGGTTGCTAAGTTGATTTTAGTGTTCATTCAGCTTTTGCAAATGATTGAGAAGAAAAAGGCTACTATTGGAAGGGATGTTTCCTTGAAGCTAGCCACAACTAAGATCGAGACCAATCCCAAGAGCAGCAATTGTTATCCTCTTTCCAAGACATTGTTTTAGTATAAGAAGGACACCTTCCATCACAATATGGTGGAGTATCCCATTGATAAATATCTGAATGTTCTGCATAATAATCACAATAAAAGGACGAATGATTCATGAAGGATAAGAGTTGCTGAAATTGGAGCAATGCAGAACTTTGAGAGCACAAATACAACAACTGAATGTATAAAATTTGATAAACCCACAATAGAAAACCCATTTTTTCTGAATGATGAAATCACGAGGACATACAAGGTTATAAATAGAAAGAAATGAAGGGTCAATTAATATTGTCTTCCTTTTCATGAATTAGTTTTGCGGTCGGGACTAATCTGTGAAACGCGGAAACCAACATAGACTGGAGAACTAACGCGAAATCTGCTAGGCCTGAACGAGAAATTGGAAACCTTACAAAACTTAATTATTTGAGCCTCCCAACAAATAATTTTGCAAGTCAAATCCCTTCATTTCTTTCCAATTTTGATAAGCTCTATACATTGGATCTTGAGAGCAATAATTTCATCAGTGGATTTCCAGGTTTTTTTGTCAATTTAACTCAACTTTCTTTTTTAAGCTTAGCAATAAATCAACTAGCTGGTCCAATCCCTTCTCAAGTAAGTCCCCATGGAAGTCTGGTTTTTATTAATTTATTTAATAACTATTTCAATGGGTCCCTACCATCTTGGCTATTCACTCTACCTTTATTGCGGTATGTGAACCTCAGTTATAACCAATTAACTAGCATATAGATGAATTTCAAAGTAAATCATTGAAATTTATTTATTTGCATAATAATAGATTGCACGGGTCAGTTCCAGAGGTTCAATATTTGAACTTGTGAATCTGACTGGGCTCTCTCTTTCTTTAAACAATTCAAGTGGAACTGAGCTTTACTTGTTTTCAAAGCTCAAAAAACTTGAATATCTTTATCTTTCCAATATCAATCTATCATTGAGCACCACATTCAACATTAACTCTTCCGTTACCAAACTTGATACATTGAGTTTATCAGCTTGTAACATAAGTGAGTTTCCGGATTTCTTACGTGGCTCACACTAATTGGAGTATCTAGACCTTTCTGACAACAAAATCCATGGTCAAATTCCCAAGTGGATGTGGAACATGGGAAAGGAAAGTTTGCATTGGTTAAACCTTTCTCACAACTTTCTTACAGGCATGGATCGACTTCCATGGAAAAATCTTGAATATCTTAACCTTTATTCCAACTTGATTCAGGGACCACTTCCAAATCCACCACCTTACTTGAGATTGTTTTCTTTGTCAAACAACAATTTCACGGGGGAGATACCTCTCAGCTTTTGCAATATGAGTGCATAGAAATTCTAGATCTTTCTTATAATAATTTGAATGGTACAATTCCGAAATGCATGGCAAACCTTAGTAGTACTCATGTGTTGGATCTACAAAAAAATAGACTGTATGGTAGCATTCCTGGAATTTTTGCACGGGGCAATCATTTCAGGACTATTAACTTCAACAACAATGCACTTGAAGGGTCAACCCCACGAAGTTTGGTTAATTGTACCATGCTTGAAGTTCTAGATCTCAGAAACAACAAGATCATTGATAGTTTCCCGTATTGGTTAGGAGATCTTCCGAAGTTGCAGGTTCTTGTACTTCGCTTCAACAAGTTTTATGGTTTTGAGTGTGGTTCTTCTGAATTTAATAGTTCTTTCCCTATGCTGAGGATCTTAGATCTCTCACACAACAATTTTAGTGGTCGTTTGCCAACAAGGTTCTTTGAGAATCTAAAAGCTTTGATGAATCTTGTTGAAGCCAAAAGGAAGTTGAATTATATAGGTGAAAAATATTATCAAGATTCAGTGGGGATGGTAGTTAAAGGTTTTGAAATCCGACCAGAGAAAATTGTTACTGCTTTTACTACCATTGATTTTTCAAACAATTGTTTTCACGGAGAAATTCCAAACTCAATTGGAAAACTTCATTCACTTCGACTCCTCAGTCTCTCTCAAAATAGCCTAATCGGTCATATTCCTTTGTCTTTCGAAAATTTGACTGCACTTGAAGCTTTAGACCTATCTTCAAATAAGTTTGTTGGAGAGATTCCATCGCAATTGGTAGGTTTGACCTTTCTTGCAAAGTTAAACTTATCACAAAACCATCTTGTGGGATCGATTCCTAGGGGGAATCAGTTCGAGACCTTCCAAAATGACTCATACAGTGGAAACCCAAGACTTTGTGGATTTATGTTATCGAACAAATGTGATATTGACGAGGCACCACAACCAGAATCATCAATAGCCCATGATGAAGAACACCACATTTCAGCCTGGTTAGATTGGAAAGTCATCATGATGGGTTATAGAAGTGAACTATCACTCGGCTTATCTATAGGATATATAGTTTTCTCAACAGGAAAACCACAATAGTTTCTACTAATGATTGATGGACTTATTCGAAGATGCAATAGAAAGACTAAGCAAAAGTGATTCTCTTGACAAGGTTAGTTCGGTTAAATTATACATCCATTTTTTTTCCTGCAGAACATCCATTTGATATTTGTGCAAATGTTATGGATCAATGTTTTTTCTGAAATAATATAATTATTTTATACATGTAACATCCATATATATATATCGTTTGTAGTTGAAAATATAGCATTAAGTAATGTTGTATCTAACAACTTGAATAAATTTCAAATTTTCCTTTTACTTTTTTCAACACATTTTACTTGAGGATTTCGTTAAAGTAGGAACCTTGTGAAAGGATGTACTATGTCTGATGATGTAATAAGAATTGCAACTACTTTCATTTAAAACTTTTGCAATCAAGATGATAAAATAAACTTGAGCAGCTAGAATTCAAGTGATATAGCGCTGAGAAAAATTTAGATTCATTGTGAAAAGTAAATTTAGAATTGTAAGAGATTAAGTTAACAACTTGTTTATAGACATTAAAAACTTTAATTAAATCAATTTTAAATGTAATATATAGATTATTTAAAAAAAAATACATTATTTAAGACAAAGGTTTGAATTCTAGCAATCGCAACTACAATCCACCCCAGATCAACTCAATGTCGGACAAACAACCATCAAGCCACCACAAAAACCCTAATCCCCAACAAAACACCACCATCCACCACAGCAAAACCCATTGGTGGCACGCGCAGTGGGTTGGACGTGGGTGTGCTGGGCGGAATTGGTTTGGGAAATATGTCGAGCAGGTGGTGGGAGGAAAAATGTGGGTAGTAGACGGCGACAGCCGGCAGTCCAGGCAAATACACAAACAACAAAACTCTAATCCAGATCAATCCAAACTCCCAACAATCAAGAACATGTTAGGAACTATTGCAAACAAAAGAATTAAGAAGTTATTCATTGAATATGTTTGGGGATTTTACCCTTTTTCAAGTGAGAAAGCGCGTACACAGCAGTGTCAATGAGGTCTTCAATGTTGTGAATGGATCGCTCTTCAGACCCCAACATGAAAATGGCACGAGCCTCCGCCTTCTTCGAAAGCCTCGCTGCTAAACTCAGTTCCAGTTTGGGAGAGTTGAGGCTTCGCAGTATCTCCCGATACAAGGACAGAACACGCCCACGGTTTTTTGCCATGTCTTCTGCCGTAGCCCATATCAAACCCTTCATTTCTGCCTATAAAATTTCATTATACGTGAATAAAACCACACTTACCGGATCAAATGGCCAATTTTTTTTTTTTTTTTTTTTTTTTTTTTAAAACATCATTGACGCGTTTCACGAAACCTCTCAATGGGCACATTAACTGTAAACAATAACATCGATTTTCTGTAAGAAAATGAATTGACCTAGAACAGTATGACCAGATATAACCAATTTATAATATATATATATATATATATATTATATATACCAACGAGTATAATCATAGAAAATTACTGTAAAAAATTGATGAAAAGAGAGCTTTTCAGTCACCTAATCTGACCGATTACGGGCAACTCAAGTATCAGCGTAAAAGAGACTTGGAGGGGCTTACCGGCGGTGAGCAAGACCCACAACGAGTGTAATCGGAGGAAGAGTAATGCTATAGTTCAATTTTTCGTATAGCTTTAAGTATGAAAACACTGCAGATATGTGTCTGTAATATTGGATGAGAAAAACTGGAATATCGAATTAACTTTTATTCTTATTTGGGGACATATGGATTGTTAATATTAGTATGCTAAATTTTTCGAAAATCATTAAAAAAAAAAATCTATATATTAAATATTCCTTTAAATTATTTAAATCTTTGGAAACTTTAAATTACGATAACTAGAAATGAGCTCGTGCGTTGTGCGTGTATATTGATTCAATGTGTTGAAATAAATTGTAAACAAATTTATTCTAAAAAATAAACTAATTAGATAAGACATAACAATTGTTAAATATACAAATTTTAAAAAAATATAAATTTTATATACATACAAAGTTGTGTTAAAGATAAAATAATAATTGTGTCTGTATAATATTAATATCAATTATAGGTAGATGTCATTAAATTATTCATCCAACTTGAGAAGATCACTTGAATATTATATGGTCTAATTATATTTTCAGGATTATTACCTTGTATAATTGATATTATTTTTGTAGACTCTTTGATATTCGATGTCAGTATTTGTAGAAATCGTATATAATATTTAAGTCACTTGAATATTATTAAGATCAACTCTTTAAACTTAAAATTTATACCGACATCACTGGTTGTTAAGTATATATATATATATATATATATGTATATATATATATATATATTATTGGTTTTTTTGTGTTTTAATATGTATTTTCTATATAGGGGTTCATTTTATATTGAATTGATAATTAAAAAATCAATAAATAAAATATCCACAAATTGAACTAAAAGTCTATATCATCATGGTTCTTCTAAAATATGTTACTATTTGAAATCCGCAACCAAAGTTTAAAACTTTGTCAAGAAAAGCAAAAAAATTTGCAAGATAACTCATTAGGTATTATTGATAAGTCTATAAATCAATCAAAGAAAAAAAAATATTATTAAAAAATATAAACTTTTAAGCAAGAGACTTGCAAAGCCAAAGGAAAAAACTGATTTTGATTATTGAGAAGAGAAAATGAATTATTTTTATTATTATTATTTTAGAAATTAAAAAAAAATTAAGAATGTTGAGAAGAGAACTCACATAGAAAGCAACAACAACTCCAACAATATAATTTGAAGGCAACTTAATTGAAGCATTAAAGAAGTCATGAAGACAAAGGCCTTGTGATACAAATCTGTTTGCTCCAATTATAATTGACCACCACCTATAGCAAAAAAAAACATTTGAGATAGCATCCTAAAGAAAGAAGATAATTGTAAAACCCACTAAACCCACAAATCGAACAACAAAATCAATCCAAAAATCAACAAAAAGAGATAGAACAAATACAATTAAAATTACATATCAATATTTATTTTCCTTTGTCATTACTAAAATTGAATTTGTTTTATGTGTGTGATGATAAGATGAATGATTCGGCAATAGGTCTATAGTCATCATAATTCATTGTATGTATATCAAATTAAAGCCCTATCCTTCTAGTTTCCAAAGATTCAAACCGCTCATCAATTGGATTTTTATTAAATAAGTTATGGCTAATTTACTACTGACTGTTAAGTAGAAATTGAGAAACAGAGGAAACCAAAATGTGTATGATAATAAAAACGAATGGTTCGATAGTGGGGCTAAAGTGATCCAAATTAAGCATATAATATATTAAATTAATGTTGTGACTGTCTATTTTCTAAAGATTTGAACCTCTCATCAATTGGATTTTTATGGAGCAATGGTCAATTTACTACTGATTATGTAGTGGAAACTAAAATGTGTGTGATGATAAAATGAATGGTTCGGAAGTGGGCTACAGTTATCAAAATTAAGCGTATAATATATCAAATTAAAGTTCTATCTATATAGTTGCTAAATATTCAAATCTCACATCAATTGCATTTTTATTAAGAAAGTTATGGTCAATTTACTACTGACTATTCAGTGAAAACCGAGATGTGTGTGATGATAAAAATAATTGTTCGACAATGGGACTACAGTTATCCAAATTAAGTGTATAATATATCAAATTAAAGTCATGACTATCTAGTTTCAAAAGATTCCAACCTCTAATCAATTGGAGTTTTATTGAGCATGTTATGGTCAATTTACTACTAATTGTTTAGTGAAAACCTAAATGTATGTGATGATAAAATGAATGGTTTACTAAAACTACGTGGTTAAGCATCAAACATCAGTTGATATTTATTAAATAACTGAAATTAGTTATGTTTGGCAACAATCTCTTTTTATGATACATGTATATAACATAAAAAGATAACAAAAAAAAAAAAGATAGAACAATCACAATTAAAACAATATATCAATATTTGTTTTCCTTTAAGGATAATAATGGTTTCACATATTTTAAATGGTTTGCTTGATTCTACAACAAACATCAAATAATATTTGTGATACAAATAAAATTTGTCATATCAAACAACAACCTATTTTCGATATATGTATGTAACATAAAAAATATCAGTAAAAAGATATAGAACAAATACAATTAAAACTGCATGTCAATATTTGTTTTCCTTTGTCATCACTAAAATTAAATTGGTTTTATGTGTGTGATGATGATAAAATGAATGGTTTGGCTGTAGATCTATAGTTATCCAAATTCATTATAAAATATATAAAATTAAAGCTTTATATTTCTAGTTTCCAAATATTCAAACCACTCTTCAATTGGATTTTTATTGAGTAAGTTATAGCCAATTAATTTACTACTGATTGTTTAGCGGAAATCGAGAAATAGGGAAAACCAAAATGTGTGTGATGATAAAAAGAATGGTTAAAAAATGGGGCTACACTTATCCAAATTAAACGTATAATATATCAAATTAAAGATCTATCTGTCTAATTTCAAATATTAAAATCTCTCATCAATTAGAGTTTTATTGAGCAAGTTATAGTCAATTTACTACTGACTGTTTTGTAAAAACCAAAATATGCGATGACAAAAGGAATAATTTGACGGTGGGGCTACAATTATCCAAATTAAAGCCGTATATGTCTAGTTTCTAAAAATTCAAACTTCTCATCAATTGGAGTTTTATTGAGCAAGTTACGGTTAATTTACTATTGACTATTAAGTGGAAACCAAAATGTGTGTGATGATAAAAGAAATAGCTCGGTAGTGGGGCTACAGTTATTTGAATTAAGTGTATAATATATCTGTTTAGTTCTAAAGATTTAAGCCTCTCATCAAGTGGAGTTTTATTGAGCAAGTTATAGTCAATTTACTACCGATTGTTTAGTGAAAATCGAAATATGTGTAATAATAAAAGGAATGGTTTGAAAGTGGGGCTACAATTATACAAATTAAGTTTATAATATATCAAATTAGATCCCTATTTGTCTAATATCTAAATATTCAAACCACTCATCAATTGAATTTTTATTGAGCAAGTTATGGTTAATTTACTACTGACTATTCAGTAGAAGTCGAAATGCGTGTGATGATGAAAGAAATGGTTCGGCAGTGGGGATATAGTTATCCAAATTAAGCGTATAATATATCAAATTAAAGCACTATCTTTCTAGTTTCTAAAGATTCAATTCTTTTATCAATTGATTTTTATTGAGCAAGTTATGGTCAATTTCCTACTGATTGTTCAGTGGAAACAGAAATGTGTGTGTTAAATAAATGAAATTAGTTATATTTAATAGCAATCTCTTTTCATGATATATGTATGTAACATAAAAAGATGTCAACAAAAAGAGATCGAACAATTACAATTAAAACTACGTATTAATATTGGTTTTCCTTTAAGGATAATAATAATGGTTCAGCATATTATAAATGGTTTATTAAAGCTACATGGTTCAGCAACAAACATCAGATGATATTTTTGATACAAATAAAATTTGTTATACCCAGCAACAACCTGTTTTTGATATATGTATGTAACATAAAAAAATATCGACAAAAAGAGATAGAACAAGTATAATTAAAACTGCATATCAATATTTGTCTTCCTTTGTCATCACTAAAATTGAATTGGTTTTATGTGTGTGATAATAAAAGGAATGGTTCGGCAGTGGGGCTATAGTTATCAAATTAAGCATATAATATACTAAATTAAAGTCTTGTCTGTCTAGTTTCTAAAAATTCAAACCTCTCATCAATTGGAGTTTTATTAAGCATGTGTGTGATGATAAAAGGAATGGTTCAATAGCGGTGCTATTGTTATCCAAATTAAGTGTACCAGATTAGAGCCATATCTATCTAGTTTATAAATTTCAAATATCTCATTGATTCGAGTTTTATTGAGCAAGTTATAGTCAATTTACTACTAATTGTTCAGTGGAAACTGAAATGTGTGTGATGATAAATAGAATGGTTTATAAGTGTGGCTACAGCTATACAAATTAAGCATATAATACACCAAATTAAAGCCCTATCTATCTAGTTTCTAAATATTCAAACCTCTCATTAATTGAGGTTTTATTGAGCAAGTTATGGTCAATTTACTACTGGCTATTTAGAGGAAACTAAAATATATGTGATGATAAAATGAATGGTTCAGAAGTGGGGCTACAGTTATCCAAATAAAG